TCCTGTGAATATTCGAGATTTTGTACAAATGGAGAGTTTAAAACAATTGCATTTTGTGTGTATATGTAAATGGTATGTGTGTATAGAAGAATTATGTATAAAATAAAGAATTATAAATGTGCTAATCAAATACTCTAAGCAAGAGTGCAAAACCAGCAATTCAGCCAAGATTTAAATCCATACAGGTAGGATCTCTGGTTTGGCACCTTCAGGACCTGACCAGTCTTGAACAAGGAGTTTGCTGGAACAGGGGGGAGGTCCCTTGCTACTGGCCCCTGAGCCCACCGCCCCTCCCTGCTGCTGGCCCCAGCTTCCCACCCTTTCCCCTCCCCACACCCAGTTGGTTCCCAGCTGCCAGCCCTCTGGCCACTGGGTTCCCAGCCAGGACTCCTTGGACCAGGAACATCCATCGTCTTGCCAGACCACAGATGTTGCCGGACCAGAGAGTTTTGGGAGGTCCAACCTGTACTCAGCAAGTTGATCCAATATCAAGAGTCCACCAGCATCCTGGTGTAACATCAGATATTCTCCAACCCCTCTCCTAGCACAGACCTGAGCAAATAAATGGGCCATACTACATGTCCAGCAGGGAAAGAAAAAGGTGAACTGTTTTGCCCCAGCAGGAGAGAATCCCAGAATCCAAAAGCCTTCACTGATGATGTCCTACTACCAGACCCCCCCTCTCCAAAAATGAAAGATGTTTGCATAAAATAGGACCACTTTTCTCCTCATGCTGTGGGGCTCCGATCCTGTAATTGCATTCAACTGAGCAGAGTCCCATGGAAATGAATGAAGCTTAGTGCAGGGGCAAGAATTTGCATGGGCAGAGTTCTTGAGTGCTTGCTCATGTCCATTCAGCTTAGGCGTCTGTGCTCCATACATGCACCGGTGCTGGAAGTTTTTCCATCAGCCATGTCTGTAGGGGACCGGCGCTGGTGCCCCTTGGAGTGGTGCACTCCATATGGTGTGGTATATAGGATGCCACCAGTTCTACTCACCCTCAGTTCCTTTTTGAAGGCAGTGCTTGGAACTATGATGCTACTGTCACCCTTTCCAGACGTTGCCTCCAATAGGGGCATGCCCTGGTTCCCAAGCTTTAAGCCATGTAATCACTGCAGGAGGTCTGTGCTCATTACCAACAGCCGCTTGCAGTGCTTGGGCAAAGCTGGTGTCAGTGATAAGGGCAGGATTTGCAAGTTTTTCAAACCGAGAACTAAGATGGAGACATTTGGTTGAAAGCCATCCTTATGGAGTCCGCCTTCACCCCGGCACAGGAATGACAGCCAGATGTGGTGCAAATTGCTCCAGGCAGCGATGGGAGTCCCTGCTAGCTTTTAGTGCCATCCACACCAAAGGCCCTACAAGCAGTGTGGGACATTGTGTCATGGCTGGTGCTGCCCACATCAGTTGTAGATGAACCAGAGTTTGGACCACCCTGTCCCCCTTCCAGGCAGCACTCCCTGTATAGTGACACATGATGCTAAAGATCACTCCCTCATCGCCAGCATACTTCTTATTGGGACAGGCAGAAGGCCCATAGCCCAGCGTGGCCACAGGTGGGGCAGCAGGGCACAGAGGCTTGAGGTGTGGCTCGCCGATGACAGGGTGTAGACCATATGAGGCATGCACCATCTGGCAAAAGTGGCATACCAAAGACTGGAACTTCCCACAATTCTGATGCCACTCACAGGAGAGATCACCCACCAGCCGGCACTGTTCGCAAACCAACATCGATCTCCCAGACTGACTTCTCCAAGTTGCACTTCCAACAGACATCAGGCATATTCTCGATCCTGGTCAAATTTCCAGCACCCATCTTCTGTTCTATCAACTTGTTGCTGGCCCATGGCTGCTGCAGGCCCTCTGACTGATATCTGTCACTGGGAATCCATTCCAGGTGCTCCTTAGAGTCCTGTAGATTTCATTCAGCCAGAGGTGGCTGATATAGGACCAACAAGTGTCACTACTCACCCTTATCCTGGTCACAGGGCAGCAACATCTCTAGCAGCCTTAGCTCAAAGTGTGGCTCCTCACCAGCTGTGCAAGCTCCACTACTGGCAGTGCTGCTCTTGGCCCCCACAGTGGTAGCCTTTGAACCCATGGAGGTTCACCCCGCCCTCTCAGGTAGCCTTGGAGGGACTCTAAGCCACTTCACAAGCTCCTTCTGGCACTGGAGCCTTCAGTGACGGCCACCCTACCGATTCAGGAAGAGGCAAAAGAGAGCAATCCACTGTTCCTTCACTGCCTGAAGAGGACCCTTCATTGCAGGCGGCATACTTGTCTTCCCCCAACAAAGCTTTAGCGGGAGTTCTCCTCATAGTCCCACAGGATGATGCAGAGGCCCATCGGGTCTTTTTGAAGAGGGTGGCTGCCTATCTTGACCACCAGGTCGAGAAGCTGAAAACCCGCAATCACCCTCTTTGGAGTACTTGGACAGGTGGCCCTGGCCAATGTGGCTCTGCTGCTACACCATTAGCTTGCTAGGACTGCTAAGATCCTCTGGCAGACTCCCTCCTTGTTGGCCCCAATTTCTAAAAGAGCATAGGGAAAGGACTTTTTCCCTGCCAAAGGGCATGAGTACTTGTACACCCAATTCAGCTCCTCACTCCCTGGTAGTAGATGCAGCGAGACACTCTGATTGTTAGTGTCAACCATGTGCTACTCCTAGATTAAAGATTCACGGAGACTTGACCTGTTTGGGCTAAAAGTTTATTCATTCTGTAGTCTACAGCTTTGAGTAGCAAATCACTCATAGGCTGCTATTTTAATATGCAGCGGCCCATGTCCATCTTTGAGTCTGCCCTTCCTGAGGCCTCCAGGAAGGAATTCCAGGTGATTGTCAAGGAGGATGCTATGGTGGCAAGAGCGGCACTCCAGATGGCATTGCATACGGCAGACTCTGACACTTGCACTGTGGCAACATCAATCTCCATGCAAAGGGCACCATGGCTGCTCCTCTCTGATCTCTCCACAGAGGCCCAGCAGTTGATTCAGGATTTCCCCTTTGATGGCCCGGCCCTGGTTGCGGAGCAAACCAATTCAAAGCACCGTGGCCTTAAAAGTCTTCCATGTCTTCAAGATTGTATGAGACTTATAAGTCCTCCTCCCATAAGTGATTTAAACTGCAGCCTCCCTGGGGCCGAGGGAGCCACTCCCTCCAGAAGCCACCTTACAACAAATCCAGGGGCTTTAAGAAGGAACTGAGAGTGGGAAGAGCCAGGAGCACCATATCTACCGCACCATATGTGGGCTACTCCAGAGCACGCCAGAGCTGAAGGAAAAAACTTCCAGCACTAGTGCATGTGGTGAGCACACACCTCTAAGTTGAATGAACATGAGCAACCTATCTGAAGGACACCAGTTACAGAACAGGAACATAGCCTTTTGTCTAAGGTAGCCAGCACCTAATACCAGTATATGAGTTGTTTGGTTGGACTGCTTTTTCCTTAATTTCTTATCTTTCTGAAAACCCTTCACAGTCTCTTCAATCTTTGTAAAATGTATTAAGCACCTGACTCAAAACTAACAAATGCAATTTCATATTTTTGAAAAATAATCTAAGTATCAATTTAAAATTCCTGGTGTCTCATTTCTTAAAATTTTTAAATGAAACTTTAAAAAGAGAAAAATTGCTGTAATGTTAAAATAGTAAGAGCTTGGTCAAAAATGAAGTTAGGAAATTCAGATACAAACTTGAAATTTCGCTATTTATTTCCTTCACTTTGCCAGGTATTGCAGCACTTCCAGCAAAGTATGGAAAGTGGCCAGATGTTTGTAGAATACTATAGTATTTGGATACCCCAGCAGAGTTGAAGCAGCTTCAACCTTAATTTTCTATTTTTTCCAGCATTGTTCATTTTCTACGAGTCAGATGCCAAAAACATAACCTTTTGAGTAATCTGTTATAAGTACCGTATTTTCCGGCGTATAGGGCGACTGGGCGTATAAGACGACCCCCTATCTTTTTAATTAAAAGATAGGGTTTCATCTTATACCCCAGCGCCCTTCCGCCTCCTTTGCTCCCGGTGTCCCTGGTCTGCTGGAGATGGTCCCCAGCAGACCAGAGGCACCGGGAGCAAAGCCGCCAGGAGCGCCTGGGG